ATAAAAGATTTTATTTGAGAGAGAACATGAGCTGGGTGGGGTGGGGGGGGCGCTGCAAAGGGAAAAGCAGAACAGAAAGCTTGACTCGGGGCTCTGTCCCAGGACCCCGGGATCATGACCTGAGCCAAAGGCAGATGCTTAACTAACTAAGGCACCCAGAGCGCAAATATTTTAGAAGCAGGTGAAATAAATGAGAAGAAGACTGTCAAAGAGATAGGAGGAGAAATAGGCCTTGCAGTCATAGGATTCAAGGAAATAGAGAGGCTCAAGGATGAGGGAAGGGAGTGGTCAGAGAGAGGGCACTAGCTTTAAAAGTTGGATCCTTGAATGTATCTGAATGTTTATATGTGAAGAACCAATAAGGAGGGAAAGAGAAGTTGAAGAAGATATAGATAATAATTGGCTCTATAAGAGCAGTGGCAGGGGAGAGGTAGTGAGCACAGGTATTTGGATTAACCTTGGATAGAAGACTTTATGTTTTCTAAGACTAAGTTAAAAGTAAACTTGTGGGTTTGGTGAGCTTATGCTATAGGCAGGCCTGGGAGAATAGAAGTGGAGAAAACTAGTCCCAGAAGAAAGCATAGAGATATGTCTACCAAAGAATTATAAAGCAAAGCTATGTTGGGGAATAATGGATGAAGGGAAGAAAGCCAGTGTTGGTACTGTGAAGGAACCTTGAGTCCAAGCTGTCTAAAGACCCTGTGTGCTTCCAGAAAATCAGACTGTCCCATCAATTCATATTTTATTTTAGGAACCTGGATACTGTTCCCCAAGAAGAAATTCATTAGTTTGGACCTGGAGGATTCTTTTGTATCAGACACCAAGATGAAAGAATCACCGATAGATGGTAAATGTGACAAAGCAGTGACACCACAACTGGGGCGGCTAGATGAAATTAAGACAGAACCTGACAATGCTCAGGTAAATATCCTACTTTATTTTCTTTTTTGTAGAGCAGCATTTAAGTATACACTTCAGTTATGCAGATGCTGGTTTACTGGCTGAAAACCTGAAATCTTTATCTTCCCCTAAGCAGTTGGTCAAATAATACAAGGTATATGGTGTGAAGTGCCATCACAACTGTATGCAAGAACATGATTTGAGCAAAGAATGGATGTTTAGAATTGGGTTTTGGATTGATAAACGAATTGCTTAGGGTATTATGGGCCTAACTAAGGTTAACACATTTTTGTTTTCATTTTTCTTAACTTGAAACAATATGAGTAACTAATCATATGTTTTTATGCTATTGACTCTGTTTAGTACATTATAAATTCTTAGAATTTTTTTCTTTGTAATTATTTTACCCAAATCAGTTTCATGTTTATTCTTAAACTTTTTTAGACATATTATATGCTAAAGAATCTGTAAATGATAAACTGACTCAAGCTGTGAATGTTCTGTGAGTAGTGCCAAATTTCCTTAAAATGTTTATATATGAACTAGCTGAAATTTCTAATGAAACAAAAAGTAAATTCAGTTTTATTTCTAGTATTCTGTTTAGGAATAGCCTAAAGTAAATCAGTATTAAGTAAGGATATTACTCCCATTGAGTTGGTGACACTGGGGAATGTTGTCCCATCTCAGAAGTATTGATTGCTTCTTCAGTGTATGGACATTCAAAACATAGATCATGTTTAGATAGAGTGCCTGCTGCTCTGAAAAATCCTCTGCAAGACTCATTTAGCCCACTCCAACAATTTTGTGTTTAAGGTCTTTATGAAGACAATTAGCTATTATTGATTAGAACAAGGAGGGAAAATAGGCGTCATTACTGAGTGTGTCTCCTCTATTTGTGGTAGCTTACTGAAGGACTCTGTGAACAAATATTACTGAAATCACATCTAGGTATTATAGAATATAATATATAATGTATAGAATATAATGTGTCAGCCAAAGGTCAAAAGGGGAGTGTTCACCTATGGTTCAGTTCAGTTATACAATTCACTAATATACAGTATTATATATCAATAATATACAGTATTATTTTCTGTTGAATAACTAGTTGTTTTATACACATTGTATTCATTATTTTCATCTCTTTTTTTAGGAGTATTGTCAAGCCCAGCAGCCTAAAACTCAGGAGAATGAACTGAAAATAAACACCACATTTTCAGACAGTGGTAATAGAATTACTTAAATTAATCCTATTTATTCTAACCAATGTAATAGCCAGTTTATTCTACTTTTTTAGAGTGTCTTTGAATAGTGCATTGTTTGGGGTTTCAAGTCCAGAAGTAACCTCTAAAAGAAAACAAAAGAATGCATACTTAATTTTACGTAAATACTAATTTTCTTCCTTCCTGTTTTGTGTTTATAGCTCCACAGTTGACTGCAGGCATTCAGCTTTCTCTGACATCATCTGGCATGAATAAAATGCTTCCTTCAGTTTCAACCACAGCTATTCAGGTTTCCTGTTCTGGTTGTAAAAAAATCCTCCAGAAGGGGCAAACTGCTTATCAGAGGAAAGGGTCTACTCAGCTTTTCTGCTCCACGCTGTGCATCACTGAATACATTTCATCTGCCAATTCACCAGCTCTTCCCAAGAGAACTTGTTCAAACTGCTCAAAGTATATAATTCTAAATTATGCCCCCTTTTACTTCCCTACATAGATCTTGATCAGAGTCTTGGTTATAACTGTCTACATTTTCATTTTTTCTTTTCTTTTCTTTTTTTTTAAAGATTTTATTTATTTATTTGACAGAGAGAGTGAGAGAGCACAAGCAGGGGGAACAGCAGAGGTAGAGGGAGAAGCAGGCTCCCCGCCAAGCAGGGAGCGTGATGCGGGGCTTGATCCCAGGACTCTGGGATCATGACCTGAGCCGAAGGCAGATGCTTAACCATCTGAGCCACCCAGGCGCCCCTATTTTCATTTTTTCTGAAGAAGTATCACCTTGGTTTAGTGAAAAGAAGCTGCTTCTGCTTTCAGTTCCTCTGTTAGATTCTTCAGAAATACTTTTTTTGTTGAGAGATTTGCAGAAATTAAAACATAAGGAGTTCTATTTCTCTTCAGCTTTAAATAATGTGACTTCTGAAACTTAACCTTCCTACTCTTCATTTAAAATTCTCTATAAATGAAATTATTATATGCCCATTCTATTTTATCATTTAACCGTATAGGAGGCAAACCACTAACACATTAATCATGTAATAGTTAATTTGGATCTTCCAAGGTATAAAATAGCCAAGGTGTGACATTATAAAATAATGTTTCTCATAATGGTAAATGAAGTTATTCGATTCTTTTACAAAATTGAATAGTCGTAGGTAAACATGGATGGATGTAGTCTTTTCAAGATTTCAGTGTTGGGGTCTGTATTGCTAACTTCTTTATATATATATGTAAGGCAATTTAGATGCAGAGAAAGGAAGTAGTAATTTCATAATGAATTAGTGGAAAATGTCCAAAACCTTGAACTCTATCCTGAGATATATAAAGGATCAACGTGCTTTGAGAATCCTATCGTAGTATAATTCTGGTTTGTTAGTACTCATTAAATGCTAATGCTAAATTTTAAATGTTTTTGTTTCAGAACAAAGAAAACACATAAGCCACCAGTTTTGCTCGTAAATATAATAAATTCCTTTCATATGTCTTATTTTGGAATCAGGTTGCCATAATTTGAATTTTGCTTCCTCCATTTACGGTTATATTGTACAACTCATAGCAGCTGTATCCATATCATCTGGGAGCTTGTTAAATAAAAATACAGAATCTCAGGCCTCATCCAGACCTACTGAATCAGAGTTGCATTTGTCCCCAGATGATACATCTATATGCTAAAGTTTGAAAAGCATCGAGAACTTCTTAGTATTCCCATTTGTTTTGTTAAATGCACATAAGAATTATGAGCATTAAATAATAGATTTAAGTGATCAAAACAATACTGGCATGTAATAAGACCTTAGTAAATGTTAGTTATCACTGTTATTCTCTTAACATACTCACAAACCCTTTTTATTGGTTGCTTCAGCTCCTTGTTTAGCTGCTGCTTCGGGTATTATCTGTTGCTTCGAGTCTTACTCCCTGAAACTCAACCTTTCTCTTGTCTTTTTTCAACCCTTCAATACTATGTCTTTTTTCCTTTTTGCTAAGGGCTGTATGGCACTCTCTTCAGTCTGCTTTCTTTCTCTGCAGAATCATAAAACTGGAAGGGACCTTAGAGATCATCCAGTCCAAACATTTTCTTTTGGTTTTGAGGAAACTGAGGTCCTGAGAAGTTAAGGTATCATGTTACTGTGTTTGGAGTTTACCCATTGTACATCTTCAGCAGATCTCCCAGACAGATTGAAAAGGCTGAAACAGGAAAGATATAGTGTGTAAGTTGTTCCCTAAGATGAAGAAATCCAATATGAGCAAAAATATGAAACAGGTTTTACTTCCTTTGGAATACAGATTTTTTTTTGATAAAAACACTATTGTATAGGTTGGTGGAACGGTAATAATGCTTAGGCTGGGAGAGGCCATCCATTGTCCAGAGTAACCTGTGCTTTTTAAAAAATTTTTTTCTTTCACATTTATTAGCGTCTTGTATTAATATAGAGTTCTCAAGATTTTAGCTAATTATCAGTATTGAGGTTTCTTTCATAGCAATGATTTTTTTTTTTTTAAAGATTTTATTTATTTATTTGAGAGAGAGAGAGAGTACATGAGAGGGGGGAGGGTCAGAGGGAGAAGCAGGCTCCCCGCCGAGCAGGGAGCCCGATGTGGGACTCGATCCCGGGACTCCAGGATCATGACCTGAGCCGAAGGCAGTCGCTTAACCAGCTGAGCCACCCAGGCGCCCCTCATAGCAATGATTTAAGATCTGTTTTGAGTTAATGCAGTTTTTATTCTGTTTCATGAACCAAATAAAAGTTAGCTTCGAAAATGGCATTTTAAATCATGTTAGAAAAATAAGACTTTTTTTTTAAGATTTTATTTATTTATTTATTGGAGAGCGAGCGAGAGAGAAGCAGCATGAGAGAGGAGAGGGTTAGAGGGAGAAGCAGGCTCCTTGCTGAGCAAGGAGCCCGATGTGGGACTCGATCCCAGGACCCTGGGATCATGACCTGAGCCGAAGGCAGTCGCTTAACCAACTGAGCCACCCAGGCGCCCAAAATAAGACTTCTTTTGAGAGCAGTGTATTTAAGAAGTGTCATTTCTGCACTTTAGTATCCCAGTTGGAACCAACCAGAGATTCTGATAGCAATCAGCAGAGTTCAGAATATCCCTGTGCTATATAACACTTACATGTAGGAAAGTTGTTCAGTCCTGTGCTTAGAGTTTATTTAAGCTAATTTCAGGTACTATTAAGAAAACTCATTTTTTTAGTTTTTTATTTATAAGGACTTAGTAGATTAGAAACCAGGAATGTAATATACTGGTAGCAGTAAAAATCAGTAAACATTTTCAGACTTCCATGCTTTTGCCAATGGTTTCTTCTGCCTCCCTTTCCATCTGCTAATTTCTTTCTATCTTAAAGGTCTGCCTCAAATATCTTTACCTCTTGTCTGTTCCCACACCATTTTTTCCTCTCCTCTCACTAACCCCCCACCCACTCAGAGTAATTATTCCATGGCCTGTGTTTTAATAGTGTTCATAGTTCCCACAACATTAATCATAAAATTAATGTTTTTAAAGAAAGAATTGATATCGCCCCAGTTAAAATATGAACCTCTTTTTTTTTTTTAAGATTTTATTTATTTATTTGACAGAGAGCAAGAGAGCACAAGCAGGGGGAGGAGCAGGGAGAGGGGGAAGCAGACTCCCCGCTGAGCAGGGAACCCAATGCAAGACTCAATCCCAGGACCCCGGGATCATGACCTGAGCTGAAGGCAGATACCTAACCAACTGAGCCACCCAGGCGCCCCTAGACTTATGAACCTCTTGATGAGATTAGGAACCAGATCATACTCATCTTTATATTCCCAGTGCGTAAACACCAACTGGCACACAGTGAATCCTAGAAAAGTTTTTGTCGAGTAAAATACAAGGATAGCACAACTCAGATACTGCATTTAGAGCTATATTTTAAACCAGTAAAATGATTGATAATGAAATGAACCTGTTACTTTTGGTACCGTCTATTTAAGAAGGAGGAAAATCATAATACACTAAAAATTTGTAAGTGTTAAAATAGTGTTGATTTCAGGAATATTTCATCTGGAAAACTATTATCCTAAAGATTGATACTCTAAGGGTTCTAAGTAGCCAGATACCATCGCAGTTCTTAAACATTCTGGTCTCTGGACCCCTTTCCACTCTTAAAATTTTTTGAAGAGCCAGAGAGCTTTAGTTTATGTAGGTTCTATCTACCAATATATACTGTGTTCGAAATTAAAATTGAGAAATTTTTAAACTAATTATTAACTCATTTAAAAATAATAACTCATTGCATGTTGACATAAATAATATTTTTAATGAAAAATAGCCATATACGTTTTTTAATTTAGTGAGGAGGAATTTTAAGAAAAATTCAATAAGCATCATTTTACCAGTTTTGCAAACCACTTCAGCGTCTGACTGGGTTTTCATATCTGCCTCTGTTCAGTTTATTGGAAAATGTTGTTTTAGCTGAAGTGTGAAAAAAAATCTGGCACTACAAATATGTAATTGGAAAAGGGAGGAGTGTTTTAATAGCCTTTTAGATTTTGTGGATGCTCTTCTTTGATCATCTACCAGAAAATAGGTAGTACTTCTTAAAGGTTAGTTACAATGTGAAATCTGAAACCATACCAATGAATTTTTTGTACTGTTAGGTTAAAATACATTGGTCTGTTTGTACTTTGGATGGCTTTTTTTTTACCCATGAATGAATGATTTTTCTTACATGCTATCATAATTTGGAAAGTACTGGTTCACTGAGTTATGTAGATCTTCCAAATGTTGGCATATTTCTTTTTTTTTTTTATAAAGATTTTATTTATTTATTTGAGAGACAGAGCACACGGGTAAATGAGCAGGCAGAGGAAGAAGCAGGCTCCCCGCTGAGCAGAGAGCCTGACATAGGGCTCGATCCCAGGACCCTGGGATCATGACCTGAGCTGAAGGCAGACGCTCAACCAACTGAGCCACCCAGGTGCCCCTGTTGGCATATTTATGCAATATTTTTAAAATCACATTTGTTAAAAGAAACACTAAAAAAAAAAAAAAAAAATACCACTAATCTCATCAAGAAAGCTTAACTATTGGGAAGCAAGTTGGAGATGGGATATTTTCCATAATTCTAATTTTCAATGAAAGCTCGACTTTTATCATTGGCAGTGAAACTGCCAGTTGTTTATCTTGAAGTAACAGTCTTACTTTATTCATTTTTGAGAAAATATTTGCCAGATACCCACTCTGGATAATAGTTTGTTCTTTCAAGTAAAAATGTATTCCATGAAAAAGGTAACTACCTCAGGTTGTAACTCTCAACATTCCCACGGGAGATTTTCCTTGAGACAACCATCATACTTTGGTGTGAAGGAGAAGTACTTTATGCCTGTGTCCCATATCATCACACAGAATACTAAAAAGAGGTTGTCAAGGATAAAGTTTAATAAAGTAAATGATTTTTACAACGAATGTGTGGCAATGAATAACATACTAGGACATTCTGGTTCAACTGCCTTAATTTGTGCTCAGGCTCTAGCGTTTGACCCAGCATTGTTTTTTTTCTCCCAATTTATTGAGGTGAAAGTCACATAACAAAAAGCCACTTCAGTAGTATTTAGTACACTCAACAGTGTCTAGTTCAGAACATTTCTGTCACTCCAGTGTATCCAGTAAGCAGTTTCTCCCCAGAGATCTCCTCTCTCTTCAGCCCCTGGCAACCACCAATCTTCATTCTATCCATGGATTTACCTATTCTGGATATTTCATATCACTGGAATCCTACAGCATACAACCTTCTGTGTCTGTCTTTTAGCATAATTTTGTCGAGATTTATCCGAGGTTTATATGTGTTGTAGCATGTAGCACTTCATTCTTTTTTTTATAGCTGAGTAATATTCCATTGTATGGATATAGCACAATTTGTTCATTCATTCATTGGTGAACATTTGGGCTGTTTCCATCTTTTAGCTATTTTTTTTTTTCTTTTTTAAGTAAGCTCCAGGCCCAATGTGGGGCTTGAACTCACAACCCTGAGATCAAGAGTTGTGTGCTTTACCAACTGAGCCAGCCCAGTGCCCCTGTCTTTTTTAGCTATTTGAAATAGTGCTGTTAGGAACATACATGTATTTATCCTTTTTTGAGTACTTCTCTTCAGTTCCTTGGGGTACATGCCTAGGAGTGGAATTGCAGTGGCCCATTGTGATGGTGCACCATCAGTTCAAATGTTAACATAGGGAGAAAGACAGTTTTTTTGGACAAATAATATTTTAATATGAAAATAGTTTTGTTTTTTGTGGACCCCTCTAAAAGTATCTGGAGTATCCCCGGAGGTTTGTAGACCATATTTTGATATCCTCTGTCTTGTAGATTACAAAGTTGGTTAGGTATGAATTTGCGATTTCTCATCATCATTCTTTTATCACTAGCACTAATTAATATAAGCTACGTAATCCTCAAACTGTGCTATCAGTTGTGTTTTATAATCCCTACTTTATAGATGAGGGAATCAACATTTGGGAGTATATATGACTTACCCGTCATTGCATAATATAAGTCCTAGAACTAAATACCAAATTCAGGTTTTCTTATTTCAAGGCTGGTGTTACTGCTGTTGCACCATCTAAAGGTAGATGAAATGGGAGAGGGTTGCTTGAGGGAGTGCTTTAACTTATAAAAGTGTTTAATGGTGCCCTTGTTTTTCCTTTTAGAGACATCTTAAATCTAAAGGATGTGATCAGTGTCCAGCTAGAAGATAATACGTCTAGCAAAAATTTTTGCAGCCAGTCTTGTCTTTCATCATATGAAGAAAAAAGAAAAGCATTTGTTACCATATGTACTAATAGCATTTTAACCAAGTGCAGCATGTGTCAGAAGACTACTGTTGTAAGTTGCAATTTTTTTTAACTTTGAGGGATTCTGATTATTTTGCTTAAATATTAGAGTTTTTACTGAATTTTTTTAAATCCTAGATTCAGTATGAAGTAAAATACCAGCATGTGAAACACTGTCTTGTAGTAATGCCTGTTTTCAGTTTCACTCTGACAGCCTCATCATGGTGGTCTTGAGAACTGTGGGGCTTACTATTAAACTGTCTCTAGTCTGTTTCATATGCTTCAGATGAAAGGACAGTCCCATTACTTTAATAGTTCAAGGAGAGGGGTGCCTGGGTGGCTCAGTCAGTTAAGTGTCTGACTCTTGATTTCAACTCATGTCATGAGATCGAGCCCCACGTGAGGCTCTGTACTCAGTGCAGAGTCTGCTTGTCCCTCTCCCTCTGCTCCTCTCCCACCCCACGCACTCGCGCACTCTCTCTCTCTCAAATAAATAAATAAAATCGTGAAAAAAAATTGGTCAAAGAGTATTACAGCATATAAGCAGGTATGAATAAAGACCTGTTGCATAAAGAACCACTCCATTTGAATTTGACTGCATGGGACTCAAATGAAACATCCAAGATTGAGTTCCTTCCGTTAGTTCACTTGTGGATGGTTCCACTTTAGGAAAAGGGTGGCGATTAGCTTTTCGTACCATTGGGAACAGTTTCAGTTGGTAGGACAGTGAAGAAGATGAAATAAAAGACTTCTGAGAGACAGTTCCTCTTACATAACAATTCATGATAAATTCTGTATGGAGATTTTCCTAAAGAATCTCAGGATGATCTGGCCTTGAAGAAAAGCCAAGCATATGAAAACTTGTTTATAAACTGCAAATAAAGATAGCAGAAATAATAATAGCCTACTGGTCAGTAAGACTCAACTACAAAGTGTTTTGGGGTTTTTTTTAAGATTTTATTTATTTATTTGACGGAGAGAGACACAGCGTAAGAGGGAACACAAGCAGGGGAAGTGGGAGAGGGAGAAGCAGGCTTCCTGCTGAGCGGGGAGCCTGATGTGGGGCTCGATCCCAGGACCCTGGGATCATGACTTGAGCCGAAGGCAGACGCTTAACGACTGAGCCACCCAGGTGCCCCACACAGTGTTTTTAATTCTATGTTTTCTTATACCTAAGCAAGGTTAAAATGAATCAAGAATGTCACATGCTTTTCTGAATGAGAAATAATCCCCGGGGCACCTGGGTGGCTCAGTTGGTTAAGCGGCTGCCTTTGGCTCAGGTCATGATCCTGGGGTCCTGGGATTGAGCCCCACGTCCGGCTCCCTGCTCAGCGGAGAGCCTGCTTCTCCCTTGCCTTCTGCCTACTTGTGCTCTCTATCTCTCTGTCAAATAAATAAATAAAATCTTAAAAAAAAAAAAAGAAAGAATCCCCTATTTCTGGTAGGAGAGCCTTGGGTGAGAGGTTCTGAGAACAGAGAAGCTGGGTCCTGCTTTGGTGGACTAAATGAGATTAATGCAGTTGGTGGTCTGAGCCCCTTTCATGAGGTAGGATTGAGGTTGTCTTGCTTGTTCAGATGATGCTTTGAGACCCAACTCTATCTCCATAAATTCTTCCTTAAAATCATGCAATTGAAGATAGGATTCTCAGCAAGTCTGAACAATTCAAATAGGTCATTTGTAAGCCACATCTTTTCTTTCTTTCTTTTTTTTTTTAATTTTTTTTTTTTTAAGATTTTATTTATTTGAGAGAGAGGGAAAGTGAGAGACAACACGAGTGGATGGGGAGGGACAGAGAAGAGGGAGAAGCAGACTGTCCGCTGAGCAGGGAGCCCAAGGGGGGTTAATGCCAGGGCTCTGGGATCATGACCTGAGCAGAAGGCAGACGCTTAACCGACTGAGCCACCCAGGCACCCCAGGGCTTCTCAAAGTATAAAAAGTCATACTAGTAAAGTGTAAAAGAATTTTCAAAGTTATACTCTGTTTTTTGTTTCATTGTTCCTTTGCCAAGTTGTTTTTCACAGAAGAAAATGTGTATTTTTTCTTTTTTTTTTTTTGAGTATTTATTTGGGAGAGAGAATTGAGCCCAATGTGGGGCTCAATCCCAGGACCCTGGGATCATGACCTGAGCTGAAGGCAGACATTAACTGACTGAGCCACCCAGCCACCCCTGTATAAGATATTTTCATTTGTCCTTGTACTTTATGCCCCAAAAGCAGTTCTTTCTCACCATTGCCATAAGTCCAGGAATGATGGTTCCTGTTTCAGTAGAAACAATAGGTGGTAAGCCTCACAGTTTATATCATTTACCTTTGCACACTTACTGCTTCCTGAATGCACTATATTCTATATATTTTACTGCTTGTATGCTACTTTCTTGCAGTATGCTTGCAATTTTAACCATGAAGTTAGCCTAGAGAAACAGTGATTCCCACAGCCGTTCTCTGGCTCCTCCTTAGTACCAATAGAAGGCTTTCCTGAGTTAATATTCAAAGTGGAATTGAGGAAAGAGATATAATTTTAAGACTTTTGTTTATTTATCCAGTTGGCTTTGATTGCCTGGAATGATGACCATATTCTGTGACCTCTTTCTTCATTGCTTGCATATGTATTACTGCTGCTACTAATATTATCTGATAAATAACACAAATAGTGATTTATTGGATTGATCTCTTTCATTTTTGTCACTGTAATCTGTATTGCCTTTTTCTCTTGTTTGTTTTTAATTCAAGTTAGTTAACGTGTAGGGTATTATTAGTTTCAGGGTAGAGTTTAGTGATTCATCAGTTGCATATAATACCCAGTGCTCATTATTTTTTTCTGGTTTTTAAGAAAGTGTAAAAATGTGGCTTCATTATCATCACTTGCTATATTTTAACTAAGAGCCGTAATGAGTATATTTTTGTTTGTTAACAATATATGTCATATACCAGGAATATGAATATTACTTTAATTTCTAAACAGAAACCAACCAAAACACTTACATCTGTTCCTTGCAAATCATTGAAGCCCTCAGATGAAGTGATTGAGACCACCAATGACTTGGGGAAGACAGACCTTTTTTGTTCTATTAATTGTTTCTCTGCTTACAATAAAGCTAAGACGGAATCATCTACAGGTAATGTTTGTTTAGCAGTTATCAGAGGTTTAGAAACTATTGAAGAATATTACTGCTTTCCTTTAATTTATAACCTTGATTCATCTCGAAATTAAACTGACTTAAAAGTCAAAACAGAGGTGCCTGGGTGGCTCAGTCGTTAAGCGTCTGCCTTCAGCTCAGGTCATGATCCCAGGGTCCTGGGATCGAGCCCCACATCGGGCTCCCTGCTCTGCGGGAAGCCTGCTTCTCCCTCTCCCACTCCCCCTGCTTGTGTTCCTGCTCTCGCTGTGTCTCTCTCTATCAAATAAATAAACAAAATCTTAAAAAAAAAAAAAAGTCAAAACAATGCAAAATTCATTGCAAAAAAATGTTTTTCAGGTGCGCCTGGCTGGCTCAGTCAGTAGATCATGTAACTCTTGATCTCAGGGTCATGAGTTCAAGCCCCACATTGGGCATGGAGCCTACATTTTAAAAAAAGTTTTCCAGTAGTTTTATATAAAAGGAAGCCTACTTCACAACCAGAGACTTAATATTTATTTGTAAAGATTGTTGTGTTAGAATATAGAATTTTGTACTTAGCCCTGCTTTGTAAAAACAAGGATATTAGTTACATTTTTTACAGCAAATAGAACTAGTTGGAAATACGTGGAAGTTCACTAATAGAAAAACACAAGTCACCCAGGGCCAACTTCGTATTCCATCAAAGAGCCTCATATAGGACCGCTGGTCCTGTTTACATAGATAATAAAGTAAATGATGCCCCTGGGGCTTGTACATCATGTAAACTGGCTCATTATAGAAATCTTTGCAATACTAGCTTAGATACCAGTGTAGCTCCGTTCATGTTGAGGGTTATGAATCTTGAAAGAGTTAGAAATGATACCCATTAGGGATGCCTGGCTACCTCAGTCGGTAGAGTGAGTGACTCTTAATCTTGGGGTTATGGGTTTGAGTCCCATGTTGGGTGTAGAGATTACTTTAAAAAAATAAAATATTTTAAAAAATGATGAAAGAAATGATAACCATTAGGAGATTCTAAAGGAATCTCTTTTCTGTTCTTCATGGGTAATTTCATGTAAAGATTTGCTTGAAATTTCAAGCAAATGGTTAAAAGAACTGAGAAATTGTATGCAAAGGTAAAATATGTTAAAAAATGGAAAAAGGAAATTATCAGTTTAAGGTTATTAATGTGTTATCCTAAAGAACCTGGCGATCCCTAAGCCATACTCCAATATCCAGCAATAATACCTAAAGCTATTAGATTTTTTTTTTTTTTTAAGATTTTATTCACTTATTTGACAGAGAGTGTATACAAGCGGGGAGCAGCAGAGGGAGAGGGAGAAGCAGGCTCCCCACCGAGCAGGAAGCCAGATGCGGGGTTCAATCCCAGGACCCCAGGATCATGACTCGAGCCGAAGGCAGACGCTTAACCCACTGAGCCACCCAGGCACCCCAAGCTATTAGATTTTTTCATTGTTTGTTGAAACACTTGTTATTAAACAATGCTTTCTGATTGATTGATTCTGCTTGGTTTTTGAGAAATCTTTTTATTTTTTTCAGTAAATGTTTCCGTGGTACATGATGCCTCAACGGATCTCTTTTCTCCAAAGAAAGATACAACTCCAGTTATAAGCAATATAGTGTCACTGGCAGATACTCATGTTTCCCTACCCATCATGAACTCTGATGTCTTACAAGGTAAAATTGATATAAAGATACCTGACATATACACTGTTTTCCCATCCTTGATGAATCTATCTATATTCTAAGGTTGTTTTTGTTGTCTGATATGAAATAAGCAATTGTAGTTTATGATGCTATTTTATAGCATATATTTTATTGCATACAAGATCTTGAATTGATGATACTCTTTTATTTTAGCAGATACAGTTTCTTCAGTAACAGCAAATGTCATTGTAGATGTAAGTTTTGTCCTTAATATTTTTGACACTGTCTTGTCTTTTTTAAGCATATTTTGTGAATATATATATGTATATATATGTGTGTGTGTCCATATATATATACATGAGCATATTCATTCCTGTTTTCATCGAAGAGCTCAAAAAAGTTGAGCAAGAGACATCTTTTGGTATTCACATTCAATTTCCCAAATCTCAGGTTTGACTTGAAATTATTAATAAGAATATTTAAACAGAAGTATTATTAGTTGTAGTTTTTCCTCTGCATTCTTTATTACCTTTTTCAATATTCTAGGTCACGTGAGCAATAAAAATTATTTTTATTACAATTACATACCAAAAGATTCTTTGAACATTTAATGCTGAATTTAGATTGCAACTTTATATTATAAATAATTGTTAATGTTTCCCCCTAGTGGAGCTAATATTGCAACTCACCCATTCATTTTATTGTGTTATTAGGATAGATATGTTTGATATTTTAATCATTTGAAAGCTGTTCAAACAAATGCTTTTCTCTTTTTCTCTCAAACATTTCTAAGAGTTTACCCAGTGAATCAAGTAGTGGTGTTGCAACTGGTAGTGTTGAACAGCCAAGCCTTTCTCCATCTTCATCAATACCCAATCAGCATATGGTTGAGTCCAGTGTAGAAGTACAAAAAGATCAAGTGTCAAACCAAGATGCTACATACAATATGAAATCTGTGAAAATAAGTGATGGACTATGTCACCCAAAATTTACATCCAAAGTACAAAAAGTTAAAGATAAGTCACGAAGCATTAAAAAATCTTGGTGTTCAAATTTCCAGCATTTGAAAAACAGTATTAAAAAGGAAGTGACATTCTGTTATTCATGCCAGTTGTTCTGCCAAAAAAATTTTAGTTTTGGAGGAGAATCATTTGCAGCCCAAGGAATTTCTAATTGGAAAAAGACTCTAGAAAAATTCAGAAAGCATGAAAAAAGTGAAATGCATTTGAAGTCATTGCAGTTTTGGAGGGAATACCAGTTTTCTGATGAAGCCATCAATGATAATTTATCTATTCATTCAAAACAGATTGAAGGAAATAAAAAGTACCTAAAGCTTATAATTGAAAATATTTTATTTCTTGGGAAGCAGTGTTTACCATTAAGAGGAAATGACCAATCGATTTCATCTGTGAATAAAGGCAATTTTTTAGAACTGTTAGAAATCAGAGCAAAAGATAAAGGAGAAGAAATATTTCGACTTATGAATTCACAAGTTGACTTCTATAATAGTACACAAATTCAAAATGATATTATTGAAATAATAAAGACTGAAATGCTGCAAGATATTGTGAACGAAATCAATGCCTCCTCAGCTTTTTCAATAATATGTGATGAGACAACTGATAGTGCCACTAAAGAACAGCTTTCAGTTTGTGTAAGATACCCACAAAAAATGTCAAAGGCTGTCTTAATTAAAGAAAGATTCTTGGGTTTCATAGATACTGAAGAGATGACTGGGACTAACTTACATAGGATTATCAAAACTTACCTGCAGCAAATTGGAGTTGATCTGAAGAAGATATGTGGCCAGGCCTATGATAGTACCACTAATTTGAGGGGAAAATTTAGTAAAATTGCAGCAGAATTCAAGAAAGAAGAGCCAAGAGCTTTGTACATACATTGTTATGCACATTTTTTGGATTTAGCAGTAATTAGGTTTTGTAAAGAAGTGAAAGAACTCCGAAGTGCTCTAAATACTCTCAACTCTTTGTTCAACACTATTCATATGTCTGGGGAAATGTCTGCAAATTTTCAAAACATTTGTAAGCTAAGTCAAAACAAAACATGCAAGAAACATACATCACAATCATGTTGGACAGTCCATGATCATACATTACTGTCTGTGATTGAGGGCCTTCCAGAGATTATTGAAACATTGGAAGTTGTATCAAGCCATTCTTCAAACACAAGTTTGGCTGATGAATTGAGTGATTTGTTAATATTGGTTTCCAAATTTGAATTTATCTTTTGTTTGAAATTTCTTTATCGAGTGTTAAGTGTTACAGGAATTCTTTCCAAAGAGCTTCAAAGTGAAACCATAGATATTTTTTCGTTGTCTTCAAAAATAGAAGCAATTTTGGAATGTTTATCATCTGAAAGAAATGATGCCTATTTCAAAACTATCTGGGATGGGGCAGAGGAAATATGTCAAAAAATAACCAGTAAAGGTTTTGAAGTTGAAAGACCTTCTTTTCAGAAAAGAAGAAAAATTCAGAAAACAGTAGATCTTGGCAATTCAGATAGTATGTTTTTTCCTACTTCAACAGAAGAACAATATAAAATTAATATTTATTACCAAGGATTGGATACTATATTAAATAATTTAAAATTATGTTTTTCAGAGTTTGATTATTGTAAAATGAAGCAAATTTCAGAACTATTATTTAAATGGAATGAACCATTAAATGAGACAACAGCCAAACATGTCCAAGAATTTTATAAACTTGATGCAGACATCATCCCAGAACTTAGATTTTATCGGCAATATGCAAAGCTCAATTTTGTCATAGATTATGATTGTATCAACTTCATCAATCTTGGCTGTTTGTTTATTCAGCATGGTCTTCACAATAATATTCCTTGCATATCAAAGTTATTATATATTGCTTTGTCTTGGCCAGTTACTTCAAGTGCTGAAAATTCATTTTCTATACTGCCCCGTCTTAAAACATATTTATGTCATACCATGGGACAAGAGAAGCTTAGCGGCCTAGCCCTAATGGCTGTTGAGCAGGAATTGGTGAATAAACTGATGGAACCTGAAAGACTCAATGGAATTGTAGAAAAGTTTATCCATCAGATGAAAGAAACCTAACATTTGCTAATTTGAATTTACCTAAAAGAATTTTGTATTTCTGCTGGAATGTTTGTTTTTTATTTCAAAATTTTATCTCCTAAGAAAAAAATTTTTTTTCATCAGAACATGTAACATTCACTTGATTGAAAATTCAAAAAAACAGACTGAAAAGAGAAAAGTCTCCTTCCTCTCTTTAGTACCCAAGTCCCCCTCCCTGTAGTGTTGTCTGTTTCTCAAATATCCTCCTGGAGATATTTTTCACAGATAGTACTCTGCAGTGCACACCGTTCTTCAACTTGTCCACTTAACGTATTTTTGAGATTGTCCTATATCAGTACTAAAGAGTTTCTTGATTTTTTTTTTACAACTGCATAAAATTTCATTGTATGAATGTACCATAATATATTTGAGCAGTCCCTAACAATAAACATTTCAATTCTTTCTAGTATTTTGCTATTATAAATAATCCTGCATTTAATAACCTCGTACAGGGGCCTGGGTGGCTCGGTCGGTTAAGCGTCTGCCTTCAGCTCAGGTCATGATCCCAGGGTCCTGGGATGGAGCCCCACATTGGGCTCCCTGCTCGGGGTCAGGGGGGGCGGGCTGTTTCTCCCTTCCCCTCTGCCTGCCGCTCCCCCTGCTTGTGCCCTCTCTCTGCCAAATAAATAAATAAAATCTTTAAAAAATAATAATAAACTTGTACATAGGTCATATTGCACATGATTGAGTTACTGTAAGATAAAATTTTAACTAGGTCAGAAGATTTATGCATTTTTATTCTTGATAGATACTGGCAAATTGCTTTCTATAAGGATTATGCCCATTTACAGTCCCACCACCCATGTGTGAGATTGCCTATTTCCTTGAGTCTTTATAAACAGTGTTCTGAAACATTTTGATCTTTGCCAGTCTGGTATCAATCCCAGTGGAATTTTGTATTTTCACTTAAGAATAAGGTTGGGTAGGGGGTGCCTGGGTGGCTCAGTCGGTTAAGCATCTGCCTTCAACTCAGGTCGTGATTCCAGGGTCCTGGGATCAAGTCCTGCATCAGGCTTCTTGCTCAGCAGGGAGCCTGCTTCTCCCTCTGCCTGCTGCTCCCCCTGCTTGTGCGCGTGGCCTCTCTCTCTTTCTGACAAATGAATAAATAAAATCTTTTAAAATAATAATAATAATAATAATAATGATAAGGTTGGGTTATCTACTTGAGCTATTAGTATTTCCTTTTCCTGTGAACTGTCACGTTTAAACATGACTATGGTTTTGGTTGACACAAATAGATGGTGCAATATGAATTCTTAATCTACTTTATGAAAATATGACTAAATAACCCAAAAAGAAGAGACTCTTTCTATCATTATACTTTAGAAAGGTTCAGGTGATAAAGGAAAATCTGTCCCTCAGAGACTTGTAAGAATTTAGTGGTAGATGTATCTGGGCCTAGAATTTTGTTTGTTTTAGGAATATTTCTCTGCCACTTCTCCCTTTCTGTTTCTTTCTCCTCAATTCTTAATTGTAATTTTTCTAGAAAGAGCATTTTACTTAGGCTTTTTTGAAAACGTATTTACGTAAAGGTATAGAAAGTATTTTTTTAATTTTTTCTGTATACTAAGTTTCCTCAACAATTTCTGTATACATGCTTTCTTGCTTGATTAGCCAACCGGTGGTTTATTTACTTGTTTTTCATACACATTCTTAGATTTATTTATCAATCCTACTTTTTAAAAATATTATGGTTGATTTTAACATAAAAAATACAAAGAGCATACCAAGTAACATTTAATTCTATAAGTCCTAATATTTTACTATGCTCCAGATTTTTATTTCAGAAATATTACAGAGCAAGATGAAGCTCCCTTGCAAATCTTTTACTGATAGCATTCCTCTTCTATTTTCCCCAGAAGCAATGATTATTTGTTGTGCTTCTTTCCATGCATGTTTAATTTTATACTTAAAAGATAGCCTTGTTTCATATTTATAAACTTTATATAAAACTCTAAGTTGCATTGTACATACCTTTCGGTAATTTTTTTTCACTCAATGTTGTTTTTGAAATTTATACATGGATTTCTAGTTCATTAATTTTAGCTGCTAAATAATACCCCATTGTATGAATATACATGTTCATTCTTTCTCTATTTAAATGGACATTTTATACTCTTTGATTTTGCACTTTTATAATACTCCAATGAACATTTGTATATGTGGTATGCATTTGCACATTCAACAAATACTTTTGAGCAAGTACTATATACTAGACGCTATTCTAACTGTGGAGACCCAGCAGAGAATAAAATAAGGCCCTGACTCCCAATGAAATTTAGCTTTCTAATGTGGTGATCCAAGATAGATACTAGAAGAGGTTGCTCACTAGTTCTTTATGTAGATAGATGATAATAAAGAAAAGAATATAGGCTGCACTAGGATAAAAGATGAGACTTTGGAAGCTGTGGCCAGTAAAGGCCTTACCCAACCACCAATCCCTGACATACCAGTTGGGAAGGTCTGCTGTAGGGTACTTACCTAGAAGTAGACTTGATGGTTAAAGGCTATGTTCATCTTCCACTTTAATTAAACTTCGGTTTAATTAATTTTTTCTTTCCCACCATTATCTGAGTGTCTCTCTTGTTCCACACATCCTAACCAACATTTGGTATTATCATTTTACTCTTTTTTTTTTTTTTTAATTCATTGATTTCTGCTTTACCTTTTTTAAAAAAAGAAAACAAGGGGCGCCTGGATGGCTCAGTCGTTAAGCATCTGCCTTTCAGTTCAGGTCATGATCCCGGAGTCCTGGGATTGAACCCTGCATTGGGCTCCCTGCTCCGCGGAAAGCCTGCTTCTCCCTCTCCCACTCCCCCTCTTGTGTTCCTGCTCTCTCTCTCTCTGTCAAATAAATAAAATCTTATTTAAAAAAATACTTTAAAAATTAAAAAAAACAAAATAGAAGGCAGTTAGTTAACCACTAGTATTGGATGCTTCTTGCGTGTATTTTCATTCTTTTCAATTTTGAAAGTGCTTAGTGCTGTGAACTGTCCTCTGAAGTCACCTTTGTCTACCATGTGTTTTTCTCATTTTCATTATTTTCTAGCTGTTTGCAGTTGTAGTTTCTATATTGTCATGGAACCAGGAATTAATTTCAAGAGGTTGGGTTTTTTTTACTTTTTAAATATTCAAATATTTTGTTTTTTACTTTTTTTCCTATAAAGACAGTAACATAAGTCCTAGACCTGAAAAAGAAAACTACAGTAATTAAAACGGCTATCTTGGTTGAATACCTACTATGTAATGTAGTACTTTGTTCAGTGCTTTACATACAATATTTCATTTAGATCTCTCAACAACCTATCCTTTTACACAGGAAACAAAGACAAAAAGGTTATGGATCACAGAGTAAATGGTGAATGTAGGATTTGTGTCCAGGCAGTGTGATTCCAAAGCCCATGCTCTCAATCACAGTGCTCTACTAACTCTTATACAAACTATTATCAGAAATATTCCCAAATAAAAGAGTAACTACCAGAAGGGCATTAAAGAATAGAAGATCACAGAAATAGCAGTATAGTTTTTTAATTTCCCCAAATCCACTGAAGCAGAAATCCATGCACAACATCTACAACAAATCTTGGTGACAATGTATCCCCATGGTCCCCAAAATAAGATTAGGTAGTGACAAACTCAAAGGCAATCCATAGACCTGAATGGTATTGGCTATCTGTTTAGAAAGCCATGGAGGAAAAGCAGTGGGACATCTGATACCCTTTGAGAATTAAGAAATCCCCCAAATAAACAGGTTTCCACTAGAAAGCATGGCAGGCTAATTAGGAAACAGTAGCCCAAAAAGAAGGTCCCTACAGACGTCAGGTGGTGAATTTGAGGAGACTGTGCTAAGTTCTGAAGATGATAGAGTAGTCTAGGTCCTTATGAATTCTGGTTTTTTTGTTTTGTTTTGGTCCTTAGGAACTTTTTTTTTTTT